TTATAAATGGAGGAGTTCTGGTGGCGTAGTGCCTAAGACATTTGACTGCTAACCAGAAGGCTGGCAGTTCAAATTCACCAGCCACTCCCCAGAAGGAAGACTTCTACTTCTGTAGAGATACCACCTGGGAAACCCAAAGAGGGGTGGCTATGATTTGGAACTGACTCAACGGCAGTGAAATGTTTTGTTTTTTTTCTTTTTTTGGTATTATAAATGGAATTGTTTGTTTACTTTCCTTATTAAGTGGCTCATTTTAGATTTGTAAAAATTCAGATGATTTTTGTATGTTGACTTTGTACCCTGCCACTTGGCTGAATTCATTTCTTAGCTTTAGTAGCTTTCTTGTGGATTCTTTGGGATCTTCTCTATATAGGATCATGTCATCTGTGAAAAGGGACTTTTTTTTTTTCTTCCTTTCCATTTTGGTTACTTTTTTATTTCTTTTCCTTGCCTAGCTCTGGCTAGAACCTTCAGTACAGTGTTCAATAGTGGTGGTTAAAGTGGGCATTCCTGTCTTTTGCCTGAACTTAAGGAGAAAGCTCTCAGCCTTTCTCTGTTGAGTATGATATTAGCCATGGGATTGTCATAAATGCCCTTTATCATATTTAGGAATTTCACTTCTATTCCTAATTTGGTGTTTTTTTTTTTTTTTTAAATCAAACAAGGGTGTTGGATTTTGCCAAATGCCTTCTCTGTGTTTATTAATATATCATGTGGTTCTTTTCCTTTGTTCTGTTAATGTGGTGCATTGCATTGATTAATTTTCTAATTTTGAACCATCTTTGTATTCCTGTGATAAATCCCACTTGGTCATAGTACGTATCCTTTTAATATGCCTTTGGATTTGTTTTGATAGGATTTTGTTAATGGTTTTTGCATCTATATTCATAAAAGATATTGGTCTGTTGAGAAGAAGGGCAGGAAGATTGTAGTTTTCTTTTCTTAGGATGTGTTCCTTTCTTTTTTATTTTGTGAAATACTTTGATAAATACTTGATAGAATTTCCCAGTGAAGCCATCTGGCTTTTGTTTTTTGGGGGAACTTTTTTGACTACTGATTCAATTTCTTCACTTGTTATGGACCTGTTGAGATCTTCTAGAGTCAGTGTAGGAAGCTTATGTGTTTCTAGGAATTTGTCAATTTCATCTAGTTTATCTAGTTTGTTGGCATACAATTGTTCATAGTATTCTCTTATAATCCTTTTTATTTCTGTAAGGTTGATTGTAATGTCTCCACGGTCTGATTTTAGATGTTAGCATCTTCTCTGTTTTTTCTTTGTCAGGCTAGCTAAAAGTTTGTTGATGTTATTGTTCTTTTAAACAACTTCTGGTTTCATTGGTTCTCTATTGTTTTTGTAGTCTCTATTTTATTTATCTTTGTCTGATCTTTGTTATCTTATTCTGTCTGGTTACATTGGGTTTGGCTTGCTCCTCTTTTTCTAATTCCTCAAATTGTTAAGTTAGGTTATTGACTTGTATCTTTCTTGTTTTTTAAGGCAGGTGTTTGCAGCTATAAATTTCCTCCCGAGCACCACTTTCTTTGTGTTCCATAGGTTTTGATATGTTGTGCTTTCATTTTCATTTGACTCTAAGTATGTTATGATTTTTTCCATTCTTTGTTTAATATTGTATTATTTAATTTTCATATATTTGTTTTCCAGTTGTCTTTATTAATTTTTAATTTCACTCCATTATGATTAGAGAAAATACTTTACATCATTTCAATCTTTTTTTTAATTTTTATTTTTTTATTATTGTGATTTGGGTGAAGATTTACATAGCAAATTCACTTTCCATATAGCAGTTTACATATACTTTGTCTCATGACATTGACTACAGTTTACCATAATGCAACAGCTCCCCTCCCACTTCCTCCCCATAGTTACCTCTTTCCAGTGTCCATCCCTCCATGGACTCCTGCCCCCTAAGCTGTCTCCCTATGCATAGGCAGTCCTTCTTTCTCAATGATTGTTCTCTCCAAGGAGTGTATCTACCTCAG